TACACGACGCTCTTCCGATCTCCCCAAAACCCCAAAACCCCACTAAGAAGGAAATTCATGTCAAAAGGAATAAGTTTAAATAGATTTTAATATATCATCAATATAATCACAAGATACTAACTCAATATGGAATAAATTTCAACTAGCCAGGAGGAAACCATAGTTACTGAAGTGTAAGCTGCTCCAATCAAGAGTACACTCATATAAGCGCCAACATTATGGAGAGAAACCTAGGGAGATGGTGCAATTGCAGTGAGAAATTTTAATTATGAAGTGAAGGAGTTGGATTAAGCCTCATTAAAAGATGCTAAGTTTGACATTGAAAAGATAGTTACAAGTGAGATCAACAGATTCGTTGAAACTTACAATCCAAAGCAAACAGTCTACCATCTTAAATCTAATCAGTATGTGCAGATTAAAAAGGTTGATGAGGCGAGGAAAATGTATGTGTGCAGACCAAAACAAGAAAAGTAAAATGAGGGTGAAAATACTAGAATAAAGGACGATCAAGATATAGAAGTTCCATTCGATGAGATATCTGAGCAGATTTAAATCAACCTCAGAATTATCACTGAAGATTAAACCTGTGTAGGTTAAGTTTACGTAGGAATCAATGACAAGATCAAGACTTTGAAAGATTTCCTCAACTCAAAAAGTGCTTCACTACTCAATATTGTTTTCAAGGATGAGATCATCAAGAATGATGATACTTTTTTGAAAAGGCACATTAGATCCGGTGAAAAATTCATATTAATGAGTGGAGGTTTCGAGGCTAAGATTTGGAAGAGATTTAGAAGAATTGAGCATGGAGATTACTTCTATATGAGTGATACTTATTATGATGCAGTATGTTTCAAGCCAAAAAAAGCATGCCATTTCTTAGGATTTGGATTTTTGAACTAGTATGAGAAGAAAGATTTCAAGCTGAAGTTCAAGTACTATATTGATGATGAAGAGTTTCCTGAAACTGAGGTAGATTTAACATAAGATATGCTTGGGGAGCATCACTCATTTAAGATTGACTTTTAGACTCTGAATCTTTAACCTATAACAGTAAAACCAGATCAAATGATTCATATTTGCGCCAGAGTGCAACTAACCTCCCCAATGAGATTCATCTACGGTTACGACAGTTAAGGAACAGATGGAATTGAAGGTCAAGACCCTGACTTTGCTATTTAAAGGTCATCACGCAACTAAAATAGTACAGGATCAGATTTCGGTTAATTCTCATACATTCTGTATGCTTTGTGAACACTTATTTCTCAAAGCTTAGAGACTCTCTGTATTAAGTTAAATCTATGGGAAGAGAATGAACAATTATCACCAAGAATGACCATATACTTAACATTAAATTAATATTTCAAAACTAATATCTATTTGTCCCCTTCTATAATTTAACTGTGGTATATGGGGTTTTGGGGTTTTGGGGTTTTGGGGTTTTGGGG